TAGCGACCCCTCCTTGGGTTTCTGCCGCAGTATCTCTACGGATGTAGATTGCCCAGTCTTTCTTCTGAGGAGTGGCTGGTGGGTTTGAACTGCCAGCCTTCTAGTTAGCAGTCAAATGCTTTAGGCACTATGCCACCAGAGCTCTCACTAGCTAAAACACTTAGTTCTTTAGAAATCCTATGAATAATTTACAACAATAAATGTAGTAACTCAGATAAAATGGACAAATTCTTTGAAAGAAAACTACCAAAACTGACAGTGAGTGCATACAAGTCAGGAATGTTATGTCTTGATCAATGTGAATATTCATCATTTTTACGTGTCATATGTGAATACATTCTACAAATAAAACCAAAACCCATTGTGGTTGAGTCAATTCCAAATGACAGCGACTCTACAGGACAGAGTAAAACTGCCTATAAGGTTTCCAAGGCCATCAATCTTTATGGATAAGGACTGCCACATCTTTCTCCCTTAGAGCAGCTGTTAAGTTCAAACTGCCAATCTTTCTGTTAGCAGCCAACCTCTTAACCACTGTGTCACCAGAGCTCCTTTTTTTTTTTTTAAATAAGAAATAAAAAGAATAGTTCTATATTTTAAAAAAAAGTCCTATATAATTAAGTCTCCCCCAAATAAAAGAAGTATTAGATAATAATTTAAAACCATCCCCCAAAGACATTCAAGGCTCAAAGGGCTTCACTGGTGACTTCTATCACTTAAGGAGAAAATAATACCAATTCCATGAAAACTCTTTTAAAAAAATAGAAGCGGTAACATTTCCCAATTCTTTTCTTTTCTTTCTTTCTTTCTTTTTTTTTTTTTTTTTGAGATCAGCATTACCCTGATATGAATGCTGCAGATACAAATTCTGTAGACAAAAATTATTTCTAAGACAAGAGAGAGCAATATCTCTCATAAACATAGATGCAAAAACACTTAATAAAGTATTAACAAATAAAATCCTGTAATATAGAATGTAAGGGTGAATTCACAATAATTGTTAATTCACATTAGCAAAAAATCATATGGTCTTAAGAAATGCAGAAAAAGCATTTGACAAAATTTAACACACATTCCTAATAAAAAACACTTAGTAAACTAGGAATAGAAGACTTCCTTAATTTGATTTAAAAAAAAAAAAAGCATCCATTGGAAAATCTAAAGGTTAAAAATCTAGAAAAAGGCAAAGATGTCCACTCTCACTGCTTCTCTTTAACACTATACAGGATAGTCCTAGAAAATGGAATTTTGAAAAAAGAAATAAAAATCAGATTGAAAAAGAAATAACACTATTTGCAAATGACATGAGTATATGTAGAGAAAATCTTAAGACATCTACAAAAGATTACTAGAGATAATAACTTTAGCAAGACTGCAGGATATAAGGTCAATAAGCAAAAGTCAATTGCACAGATATATTTAGCAAAAGTTTATGTGAAGTTTAAAAAAACAAACAATATAAAAAATAGGAATTAATATAATAAAATGTGAAATACTTGTACACTAAACACTACAAAAGGAGCTCTGGTAGCATAGTGCCTAAGGCACTTGACTGCTAACCAGAAGTCTGGCAGTTCAAACCCACAAACCACTCCTCGGAAGGAAGGTTGGGCAATCCTACTTCCGTAGTGATACTGCCTCGGAAAGCCAAGGAGGGGTCACTATGAGTCAGGGCTGACTCAACGGCAAACAACAACAACAACAAACACTACAAAACACTGATAACAGAAAATAAAATATAAACAGATACATAAATAACCAAAAAGCAAATCCACTGCCATGGAGTTGATTCTGACTCACAGTGACCCCCATAGGGTTTCCCCACCTCATCTTTCTTCCAGGGAGCAGTTGGTGGGTTCAAACAACAGGCCTTTTGGTTAGCAGCCAAATGCCTTAACCACTAAACCACCAGAGCACCTCAGATATATAAAAATACAGATAAATAAAAAGATAGGTATCATGGGGGATAATGCATTATTTCTATAATTAAAATAATTATTTTTTAAAAAATTCTTGCAAAGAAAATGAGTGTACCATTACTATAGAAAGACAAAACTGGTTTGATCACTTTTAAAACATGAAAATCTGTGTTTTGATTCCAATCAGTACCAGCATAAAAAGTTCTTGGAACACTATGTCAGTACATACTGAAATAAAACCTGCTTTCCATTAGTTAGAAACAAAGTTAACAAACCATGGTGTTGTTATTTGCCTTGAGTGCCCCCTACTCATAGCAACCCCTCCTTGGGTTTCCTAGGCAGTATCACTACAAAAGTAGATTGCTCAACCTTCCTTCTGAGGAGTGGCTGTGGGTTTGAACCTCCAGCCTTTTGTTAGCAGGCAAGTGCTTTTTAGGCACTATGCTACCAGAGCTCCCTAACAAACCACAGCACAGTCAATTATTGTAATTGCTGTTAATAAGCTGTATAGCTGCAAAAAGTTGAACTGGAAAAAGCTGTGTGACAGTTATATTTATGACAACAAAAAACAGAAGCTACTGAGGCTGCTTATGTACAAATATCTCATGGGATGTATGGTTCCTTGGTTTGGAGGTTAGTATTATGGTTCCATGGGACATCCCTGTTAATTGGCCTAATACCTAGACTAGTTATTAGGCCAATTAATAGGGCGGTTTAAACCCACCAGCCATTCCTCAGAAGGAAGATGGGGCAATCTACTTCCGTAGTGATACTGCCTCGGAAACTCAAGGAGGGGTCGCTATGAGTCGGGTCTGACTCGACGGCACTAAACAACAACTAGATTAGAGCTCCTGTTCTACCTACCTCCTGGTTTATTGCATAATACTTGGGGTCTTGATGGTTTACAAGCATCCATCTAAGGTACAATTGGTTTCTGTTCACCATGAGCAACAGAGGAAGAAGGAAAGTCAGGAATAGGAAGAGGATATGGAATGTGCATGACTGAATGCCTCCACAAACAACTGCCTCCTTTGCCATGAGACAAGAAGAACTTGATGGTGCCTGGCTATCTATCAACCACTTAAGATTCAACAGAAGAATCCTGATCAAAAAATGAGAAATGTAGAACAGAATTTCAAATTCTCATAGACTCTCTGAAACCATGGAGGTTGGATGAAGTCCTGAAACTACTGCCCTGAGATAATCATTAAACCTTAAACCAAAAACATCCTCTAAAGTCTTCTTAAAACCAAACAGTTTAGTTTAACTAGATAAAAAAAAAAAAAAAAAGTCTGCCTTTTTATGCTCTTTTAAATATCTATACAGGATCAAAGTGACAACAACTAGAAAGATTAGATAGGAACCTTAGGGGACAGTGAGTTTATGTTAATGGAGTAAGAACAATTTAGAAAAGGAGAGTGAGGATGGTTGTACAAGGTGAAGAATACAATCAATGTAGCTGAATTGTACACATAGAAATGATTAAGTTGGTTATGTTCGATGCATATATTCGCATCAACATTAAAAAAGAAAAAAAGGTGAACCCAAAAGGGAACAGACTACATCTTTTCAGGACACAAAAGTCTTCCAGTAAGGAGTTGCTACTTAAAATATAACCTTAATCACATTATCTCCTTCCCTCTGCACTATTTTGGGTTGAGCCTTCAACACTACATTTTGAGTTCTCAGAGAGTGGGCCTTGAGGCAGGGTAGAAAGGATTCAACACCTGTATTCAAATTCAAGTTAAAGAGTAAATAGATTTGAACAACTTGTATAGAAATTGTCAAATGGGAACCTAATTTTCTGTATAAAGCTTCACCGAAAACACAATTTATTTTTAAAGAGTGAATCAACGAACTCTTACAAGAGTAGACTACTTTGTCTAATAAGGTTGCTATGAGTCCAAATCAACTTGATGGCAACGGGTTTGGTTGTGCTCCCTACCACACCCCAAGTCATCAAACCTAACAGAATTTCAGGATTCTCTTAGAAATGCGACACTTAACCAAAAACTCAATGCCGCTGAGTCAATTCTGACTCACAGAGATTCTGCAGGGCAGAGCAGAACTGCCTCATTGGGTTTCCAAGGCTGTAATCTGAACGGAACCAGGCCTGCCACATCTCTCCCCCGTGGAGCTGCTGGTGGGCTCAAACAGCTGACCTTTCAGTTACCTGGCAAGCGCTTTAACAGCTGCGCCCCCAGGGCTCCTTAACACAGCAACCAAAACCAAACTGTACACATTTATGTTGCTTGCATTTTACTCAGAGGTTAGTTTAAGTAGGAATCCCGGAAAAGAAAAAACACGTGAAGCTGAAGGAAATCTGTCATTGGCATTTCCCCAGCAGGGCTCAGGAGGAGGCAGCGGCTGGGCTGGGCAGGAACCGAAAAGGGTCAGTCACAGGTTTTGGGGAGCATCACATTCACCAGAAGTTGGGAAAAGGGTCAAAGTTTGGGGCATTTGGGCTCATTATGACAAAAATAATCGCCTATGTCTACTATGAGCTGGGCCTAGAACCATACTTAGCACTTACGTCTAAGTTTACCAAACCCAACGCAACCCATTGCCCTTAAACCGATTTTGACTCATGTGACCCTATAGGACAGAGCAGAACTGTCCCGCAGCATTTCCAAGGCTGTACAAATTTTTACCGAAGCTGACTGCCTCACAATTTCTCTCCACAGTCTAAAGTTACACCATCCTGCAAAATAGGTGTAGTTTCGACACACACCAGAGCCGACACACACCACAGCCGGAGATCTGAGGAGATTTGCCTAAAGTCACAGGGTGGGGCTGGGACTTGGCTCCCGCCGGGGCCTCCTCTCAGGTGCGCAGGGTCAGCATGCTCAGCCCCGGGGCTGGAGAATTCCAGGCAGAAAACTTGCCTCCGGCGCCCATTCACCTCCTCCAAGCATTCCCACCCCCCCTCCCGCAACGACCTGGTCTTGTACGGATTCAACCTCTCCAGACTTACACCCTCGTCAACCAAACCAAGAAATTCCTCCACAGAGTCGCTGACGACTCTCCGCACTAGCCCGGCGCCCCACTGAAGTTCGCTCCGCACCCCTCCCTGGTGCTAACCTGCATCACGCAGCAGCCCAGGGCATCTTTCTGAGCGTCCGGAGCGACGATGGTGCGGGATGAGAGGCTTGGGTGCAAAAAGTGAACCATGGTGAATACCTCGGGTAAGGCGTGGAGGGGGAGCTGGCGTCAAATAGGATCCCGAATCCCACGAGAGGTGGCGTTGGCCCGCGCTGGGAGGCTGCTGAGCGCAGGGCGGCGTCGTAAGAAGGGAAACTCCGTGAGCCCCTCACACACAGCGCTCGCACGAGTCTGGGCCGCTATGTTTTTGAAACACCGAGGGTAGTGATGCGTGCGCACCCGCCGCAGCCTAGGCCCCGGCTCGCTGAGGCTGTCCCGCCACAAACCCCGCCCCCAGGGACGGGTTTTTACCACCCCCTACCCCCCAGGTCGACCACAACCCAATCTTCTCACACAATCATATACCCTCAGGGCTCCAACCGTCTTCTGTCTGCAACTTCAACCCCCCAAGAAACCAACCCTATGCCTGCCTAACTACTCGCTCAACTCCAACTCACCCCTCTGAAACTTACTTCTCTCAAGCTCACATCTCAAGAACTGATAACCTCCCTCTTGAAAGCCCGTCGGGGATATTCCTTTGGACCGACCGCCTGGAGTTGGGAGAATAGAATGTATATTTGAAAATCATTCCCCTAAGAAGTCTAACAACAGCGTCTCTTGTTAACAGTCTTCTCTGTTTCAACTCTTACAGACATTGGATAAATCAAATATCAAAACCTCTTTTGCCCTCATAAATACACAAAATACAAATTATTAATAATCGGGAATGGGGGGGGGGCAACTTCATTTCTTGTTGCCTAAAAAGTACCAAGAAAACGCTTATAATCTGCTCCAAGAAAGAAACCCCAAGAACGCAATGAAATAGTACACTTCAGCTAATGTAAGAAAAAATGTCTTGGAAAAAGATCATTATTAAGTGTATGAGCTTTGGAGTTTGAATCATGGACTAGAATCCCAGCTCCACCATCTGAAGTGTGAACCTTGGACAAGATGCTTTATTTCTCTGAACCTCAGTTTGGTCATGAGTAAAATAGGGTAAGAATGCCTTTTCTCTGGAATCATCCTTCAGGCCTGTAACTGAACTCACTCCCATGGCTTAACTCTAAGATAAACAATAGGCCTGAGAGCTGAACAGCTAGGCCCAGGAGATGCACTCCTTAGAACAATTAACCGTGGGAGAACCAAAGGTCAGCATTTGCACTGGGAGAAAGGTAAGGAGGCAGGAATGCATAGGCAAGAAGGACACAGGGAAAGGGTAACCACAGGGAGTAAGTGGGAGGAGAGCTATTTGTACGCCAGAATGTAATCCATGCCACCAAACAAAATGTGTATCCACTGTTGAATGTAAAACTAATCTGCTTTGTAAAATTTCATCCAAATCACAATAGAAAGTTAAAAAAAAGAATGCCTTTTCTCACAAATTTAATGTAAGGATTAAGATAATTATGTAAATAACAGTCTATCACAATGCTTGACCCCTATCAAGTCCTTGATTAATGTAGTCAATCGCTAAAATATTTTTTTAAGTACGAGTGACTTTGCAAAATGCTTTCCTTTCACATTCACTCATTTATTTAATCCTCATAATAATAATAATAAATGATGATCCCATGTGTGTCAGAGTAGTATTGTGTTCCATAGAGTTTCAAAAGGAGCTCTGGTGGTATAGTCCCTAAGGCACTTGACTGCTAACCAGAAGGCTGGTGGTTTAAACCCTCCAGCCACTCCTTGGAAGGAAAGTTGGGCAATCTACTTCCATAGTGATACCGGCTCAGAAACCCAAGGAGGGGTCGCTGTGAGTTGAATCCAACTCAACAGCAGTGAGAGAGAGAGAGGGTTTCCAATGGCTGATTTTGGGGAAGTAGATCACCAGGCCTTTCTTCAGAAGCACCTCTGGGTGGACTAGACACTCCAACCTTTCAGTAAGCAACTAAGGACGTTCTGTTTGCACCACCCAGGGATTCCAGGGAGGCTTAATAGTCAAGTTAAATGTCACCCAGCAAACTTTGGAATCAAAAATCAAATCTAACTCCAAGTCCAATCCCTTTTTTTTGTTTGTTTTTTAAACTATTCTTCATCCTCAAACCTCCATCTCCTCCCCAATTACACTCTCAGCTTCCTCTGAGAAAACAAAAGCAATAAATAAGGAATATCCCAAGCTTCCACCATTACATTTACTTATTTACCTGCTGTATATGATATGGTTTGTCTTCTATTACCATGCATTGTTTATACTTTTATGTAAGGCCAATTCCTGGACTTGTATCCTAGATCCTATCCCCTTTTGCTTACTCACAGATATCATCCCACAACATTCTTTTTCTTTCCAGCATTATCAGTATTCCCCTTTTTATTGGATAATTCCCACCAGTGGGTACTTCTCCCGAAGTTTCAAACAAAAATATTGCTTTTGACTCCATTTCTCTCTTCAGATATCATATCCATATGTTTCCTCTCCTTTACAACAAAACTTCTCCAAAGAGTAGTCTATGTTTGCCATCTTCAATTTTCCAATCATTTTTGTCTTTCATCCCTCCCACTCCATTTAACCAGTCTTGTTAATCTCCAAGTTCCTAAATTCAGTGGTCACTTCTCATTCCTCATCTTATTTGACTGTTCAGCAGCATTTGATCCCAATAAAAATTTCCTCTTCTTTAAAGTATTTTCTTCATTTGGCTTCCAGTTCACATCTCCTCCTCCTCTTCCTCCCCACCTCCTCTCTATTTTCCCTCTTTTTTTTTTTTTCCCACCTACCTCATTGGTTGCTCCTTCTCATTCTTCTGAATCCTAATTACCCTGATATCTACATCTTCCTGTATTGTCCTTGCACTTCTTCTCTACTAATAGTCTTGGAGATTTTATCCAGTTTCATAAGTTTGAAAGTGTCTATATGCTGATGTATCCCTATTTTATATCTCTTGCCTAGATCACACCTTTGAACTTTAGACTCATATCCAACTTACCTATTCAGTATCTCTATCTGGTTATCTACAAAGCCTCAACATGACCAAAAGTAAAGTCCTGATATCCTCCTCTAAACAGGCTTTTCCTGTAGCCTTCCCCATTTTGGTACCTGACGACTCTTTCCTTTCGGTTGTTCATGCCAAAAACCTTGGAACCGTCCCTAGCTCCTCTTTTATTCTTAAAGCTCACCTCCTGTTAGGAAATTTTGTTGCTTCCAGCTTCAAAATATATTCAGAAACTGTATATGTCTTACCTCTTCCACAGCTGCTACCCTGGTCCAAGCTGCTGTAATTTCCTACTTGGAGTGTGTGTGTGTATGTGTGTGTGTGTGTGTGTGTGTATTGGGGGGCAGGTAAAATACAAATATAACCTAAAGTTTTCTATTTTAACCATTTCTAAATATGAAATTCAGTGTCATTAATTATATCTACAATATTGTATAGCCACCCCCACCATCTATTTTCAGAATTTTATCATCTCAGCTCTGCACCCATTAAGCAAGAATTCTCCATCCCTACTCCAGTAACCTCTAGTCACCACTGTTCTATTGTTTGTCTCTGTGAATTTGCCTATTCATTTAAGTGGAATATATAATATTTGTCCTTTTGTGTCCCACATGGATTTTTACAGTATCCTCCTACTGGTTTCCCAGCTTCTACCCTTGTTGCATTACATTCTATTCTCAACTTAGCAGCAAAAGTGATCATTTCAAACTGATATGTCACCCTTTGGCTCAAAACCCTTCAATACTTTCCCATCTCATGCAGAATAAAAGCCAAAGTCTTACAGATGCTACACTGCACGGTTCTACGTAGTCTGCTCTCTCCGCCCTCCCCATTTTCTCTCACCTCATCATCTGCTACTCTCCCCTTTTCGCATTCTACTTCTGTTCTGTTAGACTCCTTGCTGTTTGCAGCTAGCCTCACAGCTGCCTCTCTCACTTCCTTCAGGTCTCTATTCAAATGTCACTTCATCAGTGAGGACTTCCCTGCCTATTATACACCAGCCATTTGCACCACCCAGGGAATCCATCCCTGTTGTTAGGTGCTATTTTGGTTCTCCAGGGCCGCTATAACAGACATACCACAAGTGGATTTCTGTAACAAATAAGGATTTATTCTTTTACAGTTTAGAAGGCTAGAAGTCCAAGTACATTGTACCAATTCTAGGGGCTAGATGAAGACCTTCTCTTCCTCTTGCTCCCAGCCCACTAGAGCTAGAGGCTTCTCTTAACTCAGGCAGCTGCTGGCTGCTGAGACTGACAAACCCAAGGTTGAGTAGTAAAATGACACAGTCCCCAAGATTATTAAGCAATATGGCAGGCCCCTAGCTCAGAAACAGTCCCAAGATCAGCAGATAACATGACAGATTGCTGAATGAAGACTTGGCTAAATGCAGGGTCCAAGCATGCAAAAAAGCTCAAGACCTTTCTCAAAGCATTTTCTTATATACTAGAAGCAGACCACATCCCTAAGGCAGCTACTCAGCTGCTCTCAGTAGATTCCACCATGGAGTTGATTATCAGTCTTATCATGGGGAATCACTATATTCAGCTGCCCAGCCACCCAAAACCAGACCCAGCCAAGTTGATATACAATCTTAACTACTACAGGTGCCATCAAGTCAGCTCCGACTCATAGTGACCCTGTGTACAACAGAATGAAACACTGCCTGGTCCTGTACCACCCTCACAGTCCTTGTTATGCTTGAGCCCATCATTGCAGCCCAACAATCCATCTTGTTAAGGGCCTTCCCCTTTTTCATTGACCTCTACCAAGCATGTTATCCTTCTCCAGGGACTGGTCCCTTCTGGCAGTATGATCAAAGTAGGTGATGTAAAGTCTGGCTATTCTCACTTCTAAAGAGCACTCTAGCTGCACTTTTCCTGGACAGATTTGTTCGTTCTTCTGGCAGTCCATAGTATTTTCAGTATTCTTGGCCAACACCATAATTCAAAGGCATCAACTCTTCTTCAGTCTTCCTTATTCGTTGTCCAGCTTTCACATGCATATGAGTGACTGAAAATACCATGGGTTGGGTTAGGTGCACCTTAGTCTTCAAAGTGACATCTTTGTTCCTTAACACTTTGAAGAGGTCTTTTGCAG